GAAGGCCAAGGCAGGAAGTCAGGTGTTCAAGACCAGCTTGAGCAAGAGCAAGACCCCATCTCTACTAAAAATAGAAAAGTTAGCTGGGCATGGTGGCACATGCCTGTAGTCCCAGCTACTCAGGAGGCTGAGACAGGAAGATCACTTGAGCCTAGGAGTTTGAGGTTGCAGTGAGATATGATGACACTATTACACTCTAGCACTAAGAGTTAACAGAATGTTTTGGTGATTTTTGCCTTTTCCAGGTTTTACATCTCTGAGGCATACCAAAATATGGACTGATTGGTCAGAGGTCAAGGAGGTCTGCACAAATCTGAGTTTTCAGTAAACTTTTTACTCTTGGATTTGAGAAGTCTTTTACTTAATCAGTTTTAGAATTTGCATTACATTTGGAAGCCTCTTCATGTTAATTAAATACAAACTAAGCTAGGCATGGTGCTTATAGTCCTAGCTACTCAGGAGCTGAGACAGTAGGATGCTCAGCCAGGAGTTTGAGGCTAACCTGGGCAACGTAATGAGACCCTGTCTCTATCCTTGAATATTCAAGTATCTGTTTTTTCTTGTTTTAAGGAGTCTCTTCAAATAAACAATCCTCTTCATGGTAAAAGTTCCCCAAGATGCATTTGTAATTCTAAAGTTTTCCTCAGTGGGATTAAGCCATTTGTTGAATTAAGTCATACATAATCTGAAACTTGAAGGAAGCAGGTAGAGGAGGCCCAGAAGAGCACAGAGTTAGACTGAGAAAATCTCAGGTGACTTGCAGTGGTTGGTAAGAATGGCTCATTTGCAACCATGGGTCTCCAGAAGACATGATGTGACGTCAGAGACCAGCTCTTATCAATTGAGGCAGTTCCAGGCAGATAGAACTAAACAAAACATTTCTTAGGATTATAAGGACTAAGAAAAGTCTTTACAGAGTTTTAGAAAAGGCGACCTGAGGCAAAGTTTGACCAAAGATATTGGACTGATGAAACCTTCTGAACTAGCCAGCCTTTGGGGCTGGCTGGAGGATGGACTTATTAGGCCTGTGTTTCTCCTCTCTCTGCGGACTCCGTCTTACAGATGAATGACACTGAGATAGTGAACAAGCAGGTGAGGGATAGGAATGACATAAATTAGGCAGAAGCAAATTATACTTGGGAATAGCGCAGTCTATTAAGATTTGAAAAATCAGAGGACCAAATATCACCATGACACTGGAGTGCTCAATAAAATTATCAAAGCTCAGCCACCTCATTGTTTCAGGAAGGGTGGTCTTGAGCAGGTGGAAACTCAAGGGTCTCAGATATACACACTATTACATTGTTGCAGAAACAAGGGGCTCAGCTGATTCTTAGTGGAAACTCCAGTTGTTCAAGCCCACTGACCAAAACCATGAAGGATTTATTTGTAGTTTTTAATTTTAAAAAGTTGAGTATATTTAACTTGCTGCAGAAAACAGAAGACCCAGAGATACTAGTGCTCTCTCAAAAGGGAGGCAGTTAGGAAACAGTACCATTGGGTACTGTTTGTTTAGTGACAGTTGTTAGATTGTAGGGTACAACTTTGTATCTGGACAAGAGTTAGAATTTGTAATCAAGATGAGTTGCTAGAACTCACAAAGTGCTAAGTGTTAGATCAGATCTAGTATGTGTAGAGTTACTGTTAAATTAATTTGCCTGAGGTCTTGTCTTTGCACTTGGATCTGAAGGATCTGGTGAAGGATCTAGTTTGAGTTTAGATAGTCTATGATACACATGTGGTTTGGTTTGGTTCACGTTATCTATTTTATGAGTCATAGCACAGTTACAAGTTTTGACTTCCTTTCAATTCTAAGAGACAGCCAGTAAACATCCTTGTGTAAACATACACTGAAAATGTATTTGTAATTGTCTAAAAGTCTTAGTAAAC